GCGTTAGACATGGCTTTCAAACGAAAGGATGTGAAAAAGTCTTCATATTATGTGTGGTTTCTCGGGGCCAAGGAGTCCAAGGGGTTGCGTGGGGACGAGTATGTGGTGCCAGTGCTCCAGTTCCTCATCGACAAGGAGCGACAACTGGAACCATCGAAAGTGACACTTCAGGTGAACAACAAAGGCATCAAAATTGTTCAGACATTGATTGTGCCGAAGAAGAGCAGTGCTGTCGTCGGCGGCGCCTCCCCTCACAAGTCGTCCACCAGTCTGTTCAGCACCAGTAGCTCACCAAAGACTGAGCAAATCAAACACATGATACCCCATCACTCCATTACGTGGGTCTCCCAGGAGGAGGACATCATTTGCTGCATTTTGTTGATATACAACCCGATCACCAAATGCCCGGTTCACGTGCACGCCTACCGGTGCGACTCCATCGAGACGGCCACCTCTCTGCGAAATCAGTTGCAAATACTCATCGATCGGCCGGAAAATCAGAAAAAGTTTCGCGAAATCGAGATCCGATTGGCCGCCAAAGGGCTTATGCCTACCGCTAGTCCGGTTCCGCCGCTCCCGGGCCTCGACTTCATGCCGTCCGCCCGAAAAACTCTCAACTCTGACGGCCGGAGCACACGGACGGAGGGCTCGGATAACTCGGACGAGTCGTATGAGGGCTCATCATATCTGGGATACCATCACAACAACACCAGTCATCACAACACGACAAACGCGAGACAAGAAGCGCCACAAAAGCACTCCAAACTGAGTCGGAGTCACTCAACGGTCAATAATAGCGCCGTTAATGACAACCAAAACACTCGTAATAGTAGTACCGGTGCTCGCAATGAGCGTAACGTCTCCACGCTGTACGAGTCGTTGGCGGCCGAGTTTAGAGCCAAACTCGGAAACCCCAAAATGGGACCCATTTTGCTGCCGCCCCGGGATTACGACACCATTAGCCGAAAGCGAGGCAAACTCGAGGGCATTGAGTACCGCAAGAGCACCAACACCTCGATCGTGGGCCCCCCCGCCAGTCCACCACCAAACCCCGCATCCACTCATAATAGGAGTTCTCTCCAGAGGTCCGAGTCGTCGGCGGTGCGACCAGTTGTCCGGCGATCGTATTATTTCAATCGTATTGATTCATTAAAATAGAGTTAATATTAATATTATTTATGAATTTGATTTTTAATTTAAGTGTTTTTTGCTAGAAAATACATTTTTGTTATAATATTTTTATATATGTAATATTAAATCAATTTTTGCGTTCAATTCAAATTTTGTTTTTCATTTAAATTTAATATTTGCGAGTGAGAGAGAAAAAATGAGTCAAAGACTTGTTTAATGCCAGCAAAAAATTGTTATTAAATTTAAGTATAGCTTTAACTCATATTTTTGCGATGACTTTGATGGACAGAGCAGTGATTTGAATGTAATTATGTGTTATTTCCATGAGATTTAAGCGCTCGGTATAGCGAGAGAAACATTAAAACTCAATGAATATAACATTACTGGAAGTTATCGCACGAAACATAGGAATATATTTCGCAAGACATATGGATATCATATACGAAAATGATTGGAGATTTGAGTGTTTTATTATAGAAAATTTTAAATTCAAATTCAATATAAATATTTGCACCTTTAAAAGGAATTTAATAGTGTATTTACTATTTGTGCAAAAATAGTTTGCTTTTTACAATAAGTTTTAAACGTCTAAAAAGAGTTTCTTTGAAAAGTCTGGTCTCCTATTGTATTACTCATTCATTCAAAGCGATACACATTACAAATATTTGTTGTTTTTATTTTCCTAAACAGATCTTATCTAATAGTGAACTAAACTTTTAGCCAAGCAAAATAAAAGCATAATATTTGCCGAGCTTATCGCAATGGATATTATAATGAACTCTCAATGGTTTGAACATTTAAAGTGTTTTGACTGTCTGTGCGTTTATATCGTGAATGCGAGCGCAAAACAAACGCTCAGTTTATTCAGACTTTTTTTGCTCATTTGATTTCAATTAGAAATCCGTATATAATGCATAAGAATAGCATAAAAACTGGAAGAGAGGAGGAAATTGACATTTCATAACAAAAAATCTCTAAGAAATGCAAACAGCAGTTATAAAAACAGGTCCGTCAGGTCTTCCCAGCGCACAGACTTTACTGTGAAGTTATATAACTATACAAAACTTTTTTCGCAACACTTTATTGGGTTCAGAGAGAAAATACTCATAACTCGGAGTAATGGATCAAATGTGTTCAGTGTATTCATGAGTTTTTAAATTCATAAAACACAATAGATTACGAGCTCCAGGAGCTTCAGGTCACCCCCAGGTATACGTTACGTAAGCCTGTCAAAAAATATTGGCCTAATATTGAATATTAATATCACTTTCAGCGCACAAAATCAGTTTTGAAATTCAAATTATTTTTCCTTTAAATTTTGTCCCAATATTTCTTTCGCTAAAAAACTCTTTTTTATCGCATTTTATAATCAAAAACCAAAACTACGGATTGATTAATGAAAACGAAATATCAAAAAAAACTAGAAAAATTCAAATCTTATAATTAATTAATCGATAACACACTTAACGATCGTAACGGTTAAGTATCGATAGGAATATTAACCATTAAGTGACTGATAAGAAAACAGTTTGAATGCAATTACGTTTGCAGAGAGTTATGATTTCTACTGAATAAGTAATTAGTGTTTAATTGACGCAAACCTTTATGTTATTTTGTACTTTGCTGCAATTTACAATTTATGCACATATTATCCTGATTTACATTTCAAATCGCAAACACACTCATTTTATTTTGCAAATAAATAAAATTTATATAAAAAAACAATAATAATAAATTTATAATGTATTGATAATTTAAACAGAATTTTAAGGCTAATATAAATTATATTTACCATAAAATTGTTTGAATATTTTTGTGAATGAATGCACATAAATGAAATGTAAAATCGCAATATGACTTGTAAACAAATTGCGGATTTACTTGAGATGTGACTAATAATTTGATTTACATTATAAGACAATTAGTTAATTGCGGAATAATTATCTGCAGTATAGTTCACGATTTGATCCAATGATTGAATTATTCATTACGAGTCTAATAGTGTATGTATTTTCTCATTCATAATATACATCTCCTATTCATCCGTTTTAATGTATAATAAATTCATTGATTTGTATTCATTTTTATTTATTACAACATTATATTTAAACACGATTTCTATTTGTTTTTGTTTTTTTGTAATTATTACATATTTATATATTTTTCTGTTGTGTGTGTAATATATGAGATGTAATTATAATTTCAAATCTACTGTATATACTATATATGAATGCGATTCTTGATTTATATCTCAAGTGTATGAATGATTTGCTTTACAAAATGCATTTAACAAATCGATTGAACAGCAAATGAGACAAATCTGTTGCACGTAAAGCACTTGTAGTCTAAATCTTGTTCATTAAAAAATATTTTAATATGATTTCATAACATCTATCATAATATAACATAACTGTTATCATTATACCGTAATATATTTATTGTTATGAATACTTGTATTGAGAATTGTTATCAAAAGTAGTGTTTTATTATTTCAATAAAAAAATGATACGCTTTTGAATTCATTCATTTAAATATGTGTTAATGGTTTTACTTACAATGCATATCAATTTGAGCCCATGGATCACTTAATTAAGCAAACTTCTAGTAGATTATGAAATTATAAGGTAAATAAAATACACATAGAGTACAGTAGTTTGTAACTACCAGTTACTATTCACTACTTATTGTTCCCAAATTGTATGACACAATCGCTTATTATTTCATATTTGCTTTGAAATTTATAATTAGCAGGTACATACCAAATTCAACAGTTTTAAATGATATATTCGCAAAATTTAGTAAATAAATATTACATATAACTTTTTAAAAACTTACTTTTAAAAAGCCATTAATGACCATTAACAATTGATTTGCGTGACCAGGGTAGTACATTCATTTGAAAATATTATTTCACAAAAGTTTAAAGTTCACAAATATATAACTTTATGCAATAAAAATATAAGGCAGTCAATAAACACGCATACATCACAAAATAGCCCTGGTCAAATTAACCCAACATGTAGATTTCAATGAATTCAATCCAGTTCATGAATATGTAAGTAGACAATGTTATTCACTATAAACAAGTTCATAATAAACAAAATCATAGATATTCACAAAAACTTCACTTAAATTAAGCGCTAATTTCAGTGTTGTTTAGAAAAGTCATAGCAATCGCCATAACAACGAGATTTGTATTGATATTTGAATCGCGCTTTAAATTGTAAACAAAATACTAATCATTGACTGAATGAGTGATTAAAAGCAGTCATTCATATGATAATGGATTCACACTTAAGACAATTGTTTTCATTAATTAATGTCTTTTTAATCGTAATATTCGTATCATTTGATTGTGTGCTCAACAAAACTACAGACACCGACAGTCACGCCACCGATGACCACAAGACAATCGGTGAGACAATAGACACCAATCCATCACTTGTTAACCGCTTTTGAATCTATGCCTTCATAGCTATCATCGGCTGCGGAGTCGGTGGCAGTTCTTCGGCTTATTTCCTGAACCAGTTGTCCAAAACGGATCCATCGATCGCCGGATTATCTGTGGATCTGTACGACAAGTCCGGCGAAATCGGCGGTCGATTACTGACACAAGACATCAATGGCAAGTGGTATGAGACGGGAGGCTCTGTTATCCACGACCGCAACCATTACGCCAAAGAACTGACACAGTTATTGAGTTGAGTACACATTGTCTGTCACCTAATGGTTCCCAAAGTCTTGTCGGTATTAACGCAATGATTGCTGTTATTTGTGTCGAAACCCAATAGATCTTCAGAAACGACAATCAAAGCCAGACTCGGATGAGAAGCTGTGTCTATACAACGGAAAGGGATTTGATTTCTGCGAGAGTTCTTGGAATCTAATCACTTATTTGAAGATCTGGTTTCGCTATGGTTTCGATGTCAACAAACTTCAGGCAAAAGTGTCCAAAATTATTGATAGCTTTGAAAAGTAGTGTCTATTTTGTGTCCAAACTATTAGTGTTTTACTTATTTCGATGTCTCCCTTAAGTGTCTACAAACTGCAAGAATCTAACGTTAAGTTTGATTCCGTGGACCAGCTCTTGGACGCCATGAGTCCAGAGATTCGTAATTTGACTAAAATCTCGTACAAAGACTTCTTAACGGACGCCAAGTTCTCCAAGAAGTTCATCACCGAATTGGTTCAGTCGATAGCGTTAGTCAACTACGGACAGGATGTCTCCATTCCTGCGTTCGTCGGTTTGTGTGTCTTATCACTCGTTTTGACGATAAGATAACCGCATGAAAAGAGTTATTCATAAACTGATTATCACTTTATTTGGTCCAAAGGTTGCGTGTCGTTCGCGGGCGCCGGTGAGCACTTGTGGGCCATCAAAGGGGGCAACAAATTACTGCCCAAACTATTGGTTAAGAATTCAGAGGCGAACCTACTATTGAATACAACCGTCAATTCAGTGACATATTTGGGGCCAAATCTGTTTGAATTGAGTATAACTGATACGACGGGCCAGACATCCACTAAACGCTACAACAGTGTTATAATCGCAACCCCTTTGACTGAAAATCAGATACAATTCGTTAATTTCAGCACTGATTTGAACGTAAACTTTCCCAAACGGGTATACCATAGGACTGTGTCGACGCTAGTGGCCGGACATCTGAATAAGAAATATAAGGGAAGGGATGTGTTAAGTGATAACGAAAGCAATTTCTTCACATCCATTGGCAGAGTATATCCGGTGGACGACTCGACCGACGAGAAGATACCCGTCTATAAGGTGTTCAGTCGGACGCCACTCTCTACGGAACAGTTGGACCTTATTTTCGGTGACATTCAAGTGGTTCGCGTCAAAGACTGGTACGCGTATCCACATTATGATAGCGTTTCCAAACCGTTGCCACCTTTTATACTACATCCCGGTGTCTATCACTTGAATGCCATCGAGTGGGCCGCCAGTGCCATCGAAATGAGTCTAATCGGCGGTAAAAATGCCGCACTTTTAGTGTACAATCAATTGGGAGGCAAAACATCGGATGTTTACACCACAAAGACGTTCACAATTAAGCCAATAATCGACGAATTATAACAATTGTCAAAATTGTGACACAAAGTGATCCACACGCCCACCGATAGTTCAAACTTAAGCCCAACTTTTACCGTAATTTAATATTTTGTTTCTATTAACCGTTATGTTAATCAAGTTTTTATGTTAAACAATAACAATGAAATGTCCACAAAATTTTAACTCTTATTTTTAATTATTAAATTTATATACTTTTAGATGTGATTATAATTTTTAAAATATGATAAAAATATACACAAATTGTTGATTACTGTCAACCAATTAATAGATATCTTTCTCGCAATTATAAGCCTTGAGGTCATCCCTAAGAGTTGTCAAATCGTCTTTGCGTCGCCTCAGGAACGCACAGTTGTCTCCTTTGATGTCTTTCTTGGCTTTTCGTGTCTTAACTCTCAAATCCTTACTCTTCTTCTCTTTCCGCAGCTTTTCTTTGATCTCTTGCGGTGTGAAAGTCGTGGCCACAGAAGTCGCACCACCGCTGAAACTGCCATTCGATGACTTATTGTCTTCATTATCACTTAATTTACTCCCATTTGTCGCGTCTTTCACTTCTAACCTTTCGATAACTTCTGTCAATTGGTTTTCAGAGTCCTTTTGGCTATCAAATGGTTCTTCAGTTAGTCTTTCATCAACTTTTCTATCACTTAACACCACATTATCTTCTTCTGCGACCTCTTCCTCGTCACTCACTTCTTCCTCCTCTTCTTCAAAGTCTTCCAATGCGTTGATTTCATTCACTTTATCGCCATTTTCCTTATCAATGGCTTCGAAGCCGGGAATGAAATCCGATTCATAGCCGTATCTTTTGGCGAAGAAGTCGACAATACATTTAACGTCGCGATCGAAGTAAGTCTGCGCCGAAGAATGAGATATTGATATCATTTGCGGAAAGTCTATCAAAACCGGTTCCAATGTCTCGAGTTTTATAATTATATTGAATTCATTGAAGTCTCCGTGAATTACACCGAAATCGTTGGCCAATCGCATGATAAGACCCATAAGCTTCTCGTACAGCACTTTGGCGTCGTCTTCACTCTGCAGCTGATCTCTGGACAAGTGATTCAAAAGTATGCCATCAATGAGTTCCATCACAAGACAGTGTCGATTGCAGTCAATGGGTTCGGGTATCGACACGTGGCTGTCGTACAGGAGTCTCATGAATGCCATCTCGCGTTTGGCGGCCAATCGCGACAAATAGATCCAATTGGTTTTGTGGCCATTCTTCTGGTAATCTCTTTTCGTGGACACTGTCCTAAAGCAGGTGCGACCCAATCGATGCATTTTGATGGCAAACGTGCGCCCATTGGCGTCGCCGCCGACGTACACATCCGACTCTTTGCCGACACCGATCTGATTGCCGATACCAGTGATCACTTCCCGGTTGCTCAAGACGTTGAGCGCCAAGAAGTCGTAGCCCTTGTATGTGAGCCGATAGCCATCGAAACGCTTCCCCCTCTCGTACGATATCAACTTGTTTTGCGTCAACTTCAGCAACACTTTAGATATACTGCCACTTCTTAGCGACGATATCGATATGATCAACGGTTTCGGCACCAACTCGTGGTTCTTCATACCCATCTCCACGGCTGTCATCACCCGCACTTCATCCGCACTCATATACCGGATCAGACTCACGTCCAACTTAACCATGTCTTTGGCGGATCAGGTTGTGGTGACTATCGATACAGTGATGAATCGCTGAACCAATTAATTGTCTCTTTAATTGAGTCCACACTTCATGAACACGTGTTTTGGTGTAAATAAACACAACTTCAAGCACTCACTACAAGGGGTCGTATTGTAAGCGCATTGGCGTTCAAATTAATGTGATTTTGTGTAAATTGTTTCGTCAGTATAATCATTATAATTAATTAAAACTTTTTGTAATATACATTAATTATTAACAAGTAACTTTTGAAATTAACCACAAAATTAAAACTACTTGTTAATTGAAAAGTTTGTGTGCAGTGAACTGAACGCCAATTTTTGTGTCCAAAAAATCCCTCAAAACCTAATGAAAGAGAGTTTTGTCAACGATTTTGAAGACATTTTTGACGCAAACTATTGACCGCTTCAGACGTTTTAACAGCACATCCACTCATCCACTGTAAGTACATCCACGCCATCCACGGTAACCATTCGCTGATAACCACGTGTTGTGTGCGACAGGGAAGCGATCGTCCGGCGCCGACACCTTCAGAGACAATCCCATCGCAGAGACAATGGCAGAGTCAGCGACGACTAGCCGTCAGTTCAGTCTTCGGCACCTGAAGCACGAGACCAAAGTGAACCACAGTCTGTATGCCATGCTTTTGGACCAGAATCTGGTGGACGTGATCCTGTCGTCGGACGGCACCAACATTAGGGCCCATCGGCTCATCCTATCGGCCAACTCATCCTATTTCAAGACACTGTTTGAGTCTCTGGAGTCAAATCGGTGTCAAATACCAATCGTTATCCTCAAAGACGTGCCGCTACTGGACCTGAAGGCGATCGTCGAGTTCATGTATAGGGGAGAGGTATGCGTGGAGGAGAGGCACCTGACGTCTGTCCTCAAGAGCGCGGAACTGCTCAAAGTGAATGGTTTGACGGAAGTGTGTCTGGCGTTGGCGTCGCAACTGAACGGCCAGTCCGTGGCTGCCGGTGACGACAGGTCCAGTCCGTCGACGTCGGCGCCGACCGCTCACAAGAGGCCGCGGATTAGCGACGGACCCAAACAGACACCGCAGATGTCCAGCGATTTGTTCGCGAAGCTAAGCAACGCTCGCTTCGAGATCAGACCCACGCCGTCGACCAGTAGCTCATCAAACAGTCCATCCAATAGAGCCGTTCCCAAGACATCGGCTCAAAGATCTCAAGGCTTACCCGTTGTTAAGAATATTGTCATTCCCTCGAATCAAATCCACAATAAGAAGGACTCATTAGATAATCATGCGATGAGTTCCACGTCTTTTGCAAATACGTCTAAATCTTCTCAAAAAAGTCCAAACATTGCAGCCATTAGTTCCCAACAGAAGTCGACGCCAATGAGTAAATCGCCGATCAATGAGACCAATAACTCGAGGCGTGCCCTCACCTCGACGTGGACTCCATCGCAATCATCAATGTCTCGGACTATGGTCTCAAGTGATAGGTCTTCGGGCTCTGCAAACAATTCATTCGTCGAAGTCTTGTTAGACGACGAGACACAGGAGTATAGCGACGACGAGATCGACATAAAGCCACCGATTTTTGAACTCAACCAAAGACTCGCCGAACAGATGGCCAACTCTGACGCCGGCGATGACACGTCCTCTCCAAGAGGTTGTGAACCAGAAATCAAAATCATATCAAAACTCAAACCTTCGACAGCGACCCCGATCACGACGAAGGGCGGGCCCACACAGGCGTCAGTCAAGTCGCGCAGCTCATCGACCAGTTCCCAGTCATCACTACCGCCACCGCCCTCTTATCGCGTCGTTCAGAGAAGCAGTTCCCGGCTATTGAGGAATATAATCAAACCGACGGCTTGTATGTCATCCATGAGCTCATCACCAAAAGGCAAGTCCTCGGAGGACAAGAACAAAGCGATGGCCCGACCAGAGAGACAGTCGTTGCGACAACTCGTTAGGAATAAGACGCCCAAAACGGAAGTCATGGATACGGCGACAGACAACGGCCCTGAGATTTCGTGTCCAGAGTGTGGACAGGCGTTCACCGACGAGAAGAAGTGGAACGAACACATAGCCAGCGCTCATATGCCGGCGCAGACCTGATATGATTAGTGCCTTAGCGCCAGACGTAGCAGAGATTACCTCATAATTGTATTCATAAATTATTTGACTATTACTCCCAAATATACCATTAATATCTCAATCGTTAAGTACTTATAAAACAAAAACCTATGAAATTCATGTTTTACTTCGCGAATATGACCTCAATATTAAGCCTTTGATTGAAATTATAAATTAAAAATCATAACATTTTTAGTCATTACATGTATTGATAAATATTATGAATACTTATTATTTAAATTTTGATATTACATTAATCTTTCAGTTTGAATATTTTTTGATTAATATTAGAAAAACGATTGTATAAGTTATGAAGCAAATTATGAATTTGTATGTTTGCTTCAATGTTGGTCTCATAAATGACAACATTTTCCTCGTATTTATTGTTTTAAAAAATTTATTTTAAACGTAAATGTATTTAGCGTTTATTTCTGATGGAGAAAAACCTGTTGAAGGGATTGCTATAATAGACCGTTAATTAACCCTAAATTGGCTCAAGGATTAGCGTTTTGTGTATCGGATTTAATATAAACTAAACTAGGATTGACTGAAAAATTGTATTTATCGGACAGAACCTGATCTCATGTTTAGATTCTGTGTAGATAACAGATGTTTATATAGATTTCACGAAATAAAAAATACTTTTCCATTATTTAGTATTAATTTTTTAATAAATGCGAAAAGTCGTTATAATAAAGATAATGATATTAAATGCAATATTTGTTTATACTGTACTTATTTTTTAATTAACAAATCAATTATTACTAATTAACAGTAAATATAAATAAAAATCGTTACGGATTTCACACACATATGTTATGATATATTAATGTATTGTTATTATAGTTTTGTTTTCCGACTTCAATGTCTTTTGGGTTATCAAATATAATAAGTATTAAGAACTCAATTAAGCAATCATTTGAAAATCTCTTAATACAAGTGATGAATGAATTAATTGTATATTTATGTACACATAGGAATGGGAGTTAAAAAGCGATGCTAAGAGCATAAAAAAATACCCATTATTTAGTCCTTTACATAAAACTTATTCTTTAATATTTTATGATTAATATTAATGCTATTCCGAGCGAATAATTAATTTAAAATTGTTATTATATTTGATAGTTTTTAAAGTAGAAATCTTATCAAATAAGAGATACTGAGTGTTAGTAATGGATAGATTGAGAGAGTTTAATGTTTTTATAATATTAATATATTTTATATATACCGTTATACACGGGTATATTAAGGTGACCTCAATATCGGGATAAGTTAATGTTTTAGTACGAATACACAGTAAATATATATTCTTCAATATTTATATTCTCGACTCAAGAATTAAAATAGTGTTTGAGAGAGAGAGAGAGAGAGAGAGAGAGAGAGAGAGAGATAATCAAAAACAACAAAAATACGAGAAAAAACTATTACTAAACGTAAAGATAAGATTCAGGTTTAATCTCCACAAGAATTAGTTTATCGCTGAGAATCTCAAACCACTTGCGAATTCTCTCCTAATCTCTCGTTTCATTTCGTTTTACAATTGAAATCAAGTTTTGCTGTTTGTTTTTTTGCCACTTTTAAGGCTTTTCTACGAATTAAAAACTTTTTAAAGTGTTTCGAGTCTCCAATCGTTTGGCCAATGATTGAGTTTTTCTGTTATTTATTTGTTATTATTTTAGTTTTTAGTTTTTTGTGTGTGTTTTAATACATAATTAAAAGTCAGCTCCCATTTTGGGGATTGACTTTTTCAATTAACAAATGACATGTTGTATCCCGAAATCGACTGCAAACCTCTTTCCCATTAATTCAAATCTACTTTTGGTTAGCTTTTTGTTTTGTTTAATGCAAAGCAATTCCCAATAATTTTTTTGTAAATGTTAATTTCTATTAATAGACAACTGGTAAAAGTTTTTATGCCTTTAAATGTTTCAAAATTAATGCATAAAAACTAAATTTATATTTTAATAATTTTTGAAAATTTAAATATTTTGATAATATTTTATTTGCTATGAATTTGTTTTTACACATAATTTTAATATTCTCAATGAGAAATCTAATTGCCGTATTAATTATGGAAAATACGAAACAACATTAACAAAAATAAATGCATTAGTGGACATAAAACTTTGATTATCTAGATAAAAAAATTAATATAAAAACAATAAATAGAATAATTGTTTTTAAATTAAAGTTTCGAAACTTATTAGTATTTATAATTTCGTAAACTTTTATTCCCAATAAAAAAATCAAACTCTAATTTAGTTTTCAATACGAAATGCTGTGAATTAGGATTCATTTTAGTGTCACTTTTTTCTACCACTAAAAGAAACTCTCATATTATGTGTGAGAGAGTCAACGTCTCCTCAATTGAAAAACACTTTTCACTGAAATTAAAAAACTTTTTTGTCTTAACTTTCAGTTTAAGTGATGCAAAACATGAGCGAGACTCTAATTGTACAAAACCATAAAACACTTTTACAATTCGTTTATTTTTAATCACGGCTTTTGTCTTATGAATTGAAGACGTTTATAGAAAAAGCAACAAAAATATTACCTAAAAATAAACACTTTGTGATGCAAATGAATGCCTTAATTCCAGTTTCACTATAAATATTCATTCAATTCTTATGTGTAAAACGCTATGGAAATAGAGTTATGAGTGAATCCTACAGAATATTATGAGCGAATGGATTGTTATTTAATTTTATTGAATGAAGTGCTATCGTATTGAATGAATAGGACTCACACTTTAATTAATTCAAATGCATTTGATTCGCATAATTACGATTACAAATGACTATTTTTAAACAAAATATAAACATCTTTTAGATCTGAAGGAATCGTGTCGTGCATTACTAACTATTTCCAAATTAAAACCAAATCTGTTTCGACTGTTTGACCGCAATTTAGTTCATTATCGTTGGCCTCAGATAACCATTTGTTTGCATTTCACTCATTCAGGAGAGGCTTTTCACTCAATTTTTATTGCATTTTAATGTTCCTAATGTTCTCAATGTTATAACAATATTACTGTGAATTCTGTGCGGTATGTATGATATGTAGATATACCGTAATGTTGTTATATGGCTATAATGTATGCAAACATACCATAAGTTAAGTTTATTAATCAACAATCACTTCAATCATCAGCCAAAAGGTTAGATCTAATGTCCCGGTCCTCTAACTTGAGTCGAAAAACGAGGTCTTTTTAAATTATGTTAAAACTAACTAATTTTCTAGTAATTTAACTCTTAATTCTATGCAATAATCCAAAGTTTTTGGAAACTGTGGTAATCCTGAGTTAAAAGTAATATAATTTATCATAATAAGGGAAATTCGTAATAACTTATTGTGTGTTTTCAATTCAAATGAGGGAATTATCCGAATACTTAACTGTATACTTAAATTAATATTAATATAAAAGTTAATCTCATATTTAATGCATAACTGTATTACAGAATTGTGAATTAAATTATGTGAGAAAAATGTGATGTTTTCTTAACGATTACTTCAGAGCTTACGTATAAACTCAATGACTAAATCCAATGCCTTTATACCTGTTGTTTCGATTAGCAATCAATTTAATCGATAAATAAATTAAATAAACAAAAATATGTTTGTTCAAAAAACAAAATAAAATAAAACAAAACTAAATAAAATTACTTTCGGAATAATTAATATAAACAGGAAATAATAAGAGTAATAACCGGTAGGATTTTGATCAATAAATTATATTAAATTACTCGAAACATTACATAAAAACAATTCATTAACAAATGGGAAAGACATGTCTCCAATTAAACGGCACCGATCGCTAGTCTTTCCATTGAAATCGCTAACTAATGGCTGGCATTCATGTAATAAATATATCTATTAATCACTGAATTCTTCGTGAATGGTAAGGCATTTGGGAACCCGTTTTAAATGCGTGTAATTGTCTAGCAACAAAAAACATAACATTTATATGTAATATTCAGTACATGGGTATACGATATGATACCCAGAATTCACTTTTCAGTATTTCATAAATTATAAATATTACGAAAATATTTCTGGTAATTCCGGACACAAAATAATATTTATACATAATTATGTTTTATGATAATGAGCGATATAATAATATAATGATTTATATTAATTGAAGTATAGGAAAATTATTAATACTCGCTGTAGCAATTTGTCAATCCGTGGCTCAACCCTTTTATTACATTTAATACAATTATCATTTAACCGTATACTGTACTCCATTTGTTTAAATTTATTTCTTTTTTCGTCAAAAATCTAATTATTTATTATTCGCTAGTTTTCTATTTAAATGGAAATATAATTTTTCAATAGATTTTCTTCTCATTGAAGGTCTGTCTCATGATTTCAATTATAAATGCCTTCAATATAATGATATTAACATCGCTTTTGAACCTGAAATTCGTTTTATTTGTATTTTGTTTGCGAAACACAATCGGAATAATAATACAGTTTTCGTTGAAATATATGCTTATAATCTGGAATGCGATGAATAATTGTATTGAGATTTGCTAGGGGAGATTATTAATTCATAAAAATAATATAAAAAACACTCAATGACATCGAGAAATCACGATTTCTTGTAATATTTATATTACTCGTTATTAGCATTTTATTCAATTATATTCTCGCAGATATACAAAAAACTAGTGTATATTATGTACAGTGAAAAGTTAATTAACTTTAAAATGAGAAAAACACCATTCCCCATTGCTATATAAATGCATTTTATAAATAGTTATTAATAATGATTAAAAATTATTAATTAAATTAATATAAATTTTAGGAAAAAATAAAAATCCTAGTAATTTTGTATATGACAAATAATCTATAGATATAATAAGCAAAGCCTAAAGCTTATGTATGAACTTTATTATGGATAGAAAACTTGTTTCGCTCAAAATGTTTGACCTGAGATGTAAAGTAGATTCTTATGAAGGGATGGCCACTGAGAATCT